TCTCTCTCTCTCTCTCTCTCTCTCTCTCTCTCTCTCTCTCTCTCTCTCTGTGTGTGTGTGTGTGTGTGTGTATGTGTATGTTTGTGGTATACGCACATGTGTGTGCTCATTTGTGGGTACATGCACCAAGGATAGAGCAGGATGTCCAGTGTCTTGATTTATCATTCTATCAGTGTCTTGATTTATCATCCCTTGAGAGATGGTCTTTCACTGAATCTAGACCTAGAATGGTAGCCAGTAAACCTCAGTTCTCCTTCTTCTGTTCCTTGCAGCTCTGGGTTTACAAGTGCACACACCATGCTAGCTTTCCATGTGGGTGCTGAGCTTGGAAGAAGCACATTTACCCACTTAGTCATATTCATAGCTACCATAAAAGGATGCTTTCATGGTTACACATAAAAATTAGAGTCTGTAACTCACCCTAAGATGGGACAGGGATAGTTTATAGCTCTATATCTATATATAGCTATGTATGTAGCTTTGTATTTTTAAAACATCAGACCTTCAACATTCACTTAAAATTATGAAAAATTCCACAATTTGAATAAAATAACAGTGATGAGAAGTTTAATATTGCTTTTCATCACTCTTGGTCAAAATTTTGAGGTTTTCAAATAGTAATCAAAAATTATAAAGTATGATTTATCTTGACTGGCACTGTATGGTTAACAAAGTCTAATGCCAAAGTCCTGTCTACTTCTAAGAACAACACTTGCTTTGTGTGGTGAGAAATATGGTAGATGTAATAGTTTTGGGTTGATCTTTATAAAACTTCATATAAAATTTACAAAAATAAGTATTAGAAAAGCTCTCCAATGTCTGCTATGATTTCTACTTCAAAAGTGATTCTACAGAATATAAAATGATATAAAACTTACTCAGGAATGATAATGACTGTGAATTCATTTCATGAATGGCTTTTGCAAATTCAAATGCCAGGGTCTTCCAGTTCTTTGGATCCTGCATAATGGAACATTCTGGGAGCAAAAGAAAAATCAATAGAGCTTCTTGATGTAGAGAACTGTATGGAAGCCCTCTGAGCAGATTCTCCTCAAGACAGGTGGTTATCTGTGGTCAAAAGGGGACAAAGAACAAGGCCAACTTACACAAGACACAGTATTGTGAATGACTACAAATTGTGGCTGCAGGTTTCATTCTACTATCTTCCAATTAGAAAGTTCACTTAGACCTTCTGGAGTCTATTGATGAACCATGGTCAACCTTTTCATTCACATACCCTTGAGGTAGTCTTTGAGTGAGCCATCTGTCCATTTTATATTATGAGACATGAAGGAAATAAAGTGAAATCACATGTAGATGAACATACACAGTGACTAGTCAGTTTGAAACTAATGAAAAGTTCTCCAGAAACAATTCAGTAAGCTAGTTGCAGTGGCACATATACGGAGTCTGTTACTCAGAAGGCTGCACCCAAGATTCATCTCAAAACAGACACTGAGCTTTTTTGATCATCCACCATAGAGGGTATCCTGCTTCCCAAACCCCTGTTCTTTCCATGTGCATTTCCAGAAAGAAGTTTGTCTCAGTATTACTTTCTTCCAGTTGGAAACAAAAGACTATATCTATTGTTCATTGAATGGTTTACTAAAAAAGTAAATGCCACCACCTATCACAATGTCTGGGCTAAAGAACCTTTCTAAAGTGACTAGCCTTCTATTCAGCCCCACCTCCCACCAAAACTAAGCTGCTGGTTTATTTATTCCTATGAAGAAGTATAATTGTGCAGTATCTCAGGTAAGTTTAACAGATAGTGGCTGTTACCAAGGAAGAAATCCATTTCTCTGCTGTTAACTTCTTGAAGACATCCCTTGCCAGTTTTAAGTCCACATCAATGAAATTATTCTCTCCATTATCTCTATGAACACAAAAAGCATTAAAAATACACAAACAGATGAGAATAGAGCATTTTAAAACTCCAAATAATATTACTTGGTTTCTGTCTTAGCATGCACAAAATATTAACTTTATTTAAAGATTGCTTCTTTTCAAAATAATAGACTAGAGCAACACAGAAGTGTAAAGATTCATGTTAAAAAGGAATAAACCACAACTTGTTATCTCTGAATCAGTAACATCAAGCATGGGCTGCAATTTTAGCAGAATTTTATTTTTTTAATTTAATTTAATTTTATTTTATTTTATGGTACTAGGATTGAGCCCAGGGCCTCTGACCTAGAACTTTATACATGATAAGCAACACTATACCACAGAGTTACAAGCTGATCTCTAGAAAGTTTCTGTAAATTAAGTCTAAAAACCATCAATCCCGACAGTCAGTCTATTCCACAGACTGGAATTGTTTACTCTCTACATATGGTGCCATTTCTGTTTAATTATTTATTTGTATACTTATTTATTTATAATTGCTTACTTTTTGGAACAAAGTCTTAGTATACCCAGGCTGGTCTTAAACTTGTGACCTTCCTGCCTCAGCTTCCAAGTACTAGGATTACAGGACTGCACCACTGTGTCTAGCCACCAGTTTTGCTTAAGCTTTACATTTCCGGTTACATTAGAGGTGGGGTGATGGAATAATAGTGGTTTCACTATTGCCAGGGACCTTGTCAGCACAGAGGTTTGACAGTTCATTTTAGAAATTTTTTGAAAGACACATTAATTCATTAATGAACACACTGTTTGTTCAATGAGAGTCTGAATCTCTTACCTCAAAATTCTGTTCTTGATATTTCCACCAGTCCTAGATCCTTGCATATTTACCCAATTCTTCTCAACCCTGACCACTTACTACATTAAAATACTGCTCAGATACTGTCTAGTTGGCAGGTTGATTAAGTCATATTTCATGACAAGCATCAAGCAAGTCTAACAGCTTTAAAAAAAATAATCAACACATATTTGGGGCTTGCTGATTAAGTATCAATATTGATATTAGAACAAGAATTTATACAAATTATAACTGTCAATATTTCTCAAAAATTCTTTCTCCTTCGCAGCTGTCACCTGGAAGTTTAAAACTCCCAAAAAGTGGTCATGGATATTTTTCTTCTTTAAAAAGACAGTATTGTAGAAGAGGAGAGAACACTTCTGCCTTGCTCCTGGCCTTGTGGAATCTTTAGGTGGGCCTAAGAAGGATATAAGTATAGAGGATTCTCATACAAGCAATAAACAAAAGGAAAAAATACCATGAAAAAGAGATATAAGTTTTATTAAAATTATATGTACATAGGAACAAGATACATCCAAAGAAATGACACAAACATGTTTTGCACTTTTTAGACAAATAATGTTTGTGAAGGAATGATAAGATAAATGTGTGAGTAGGCTAAGATAGTAACTCTTAAGGAGTAAGTAGGAGAGGTGTGTGTGTGTGTGTGTGTGTGTGTGTGTAGCTAAAAGAGCTACTCCAGTGAGTATCCATGTAGGTTCCTCACAACTCCACTTACCATTCTCCTTTCCCTTACACACCTTTCATTCAGCCCTTAACTATTTATTGCTTGCTACGTGTAGAAAAACAAACCAACGTTTCCAGCAGTGAAGACCTCCCTGCAAGAACATGCCTGCAAAGGATCTCCTTCATTCCTCTCCAGAAGAGAAGAGGAAACAAAAGAAAAAGCATTTGGTGCAGAGCACCAATTCCTACTTTATGGATGTGAAATGCCCAGGATGCTATAAAATCATCACAGTCGTTAGCCACGCACAGTCCTCTGTCAGCCTACAGGTGGAAAAGCAAGGCTGACAGAAGGATGCTCTTTCAGGGGTAAGCAGCACTGAAAGTCCCTGATTCGAGATGAGTGGTAACTTTCCCAATAGACATATTTTGGATAAAACAAAAGAAAAACAAACAAAAACAAAACAGGCCAGATACTCTGGTTAATCTGTTCTGTAGTTATCATGCCTTAGGTGATTTTAGCTGGAAATAAGCAATATGCCAATTTGATGTATTTTGAGCTGATATGGCATTAACTCTTAGAATTTAGTATAGTAAATTCCCCTATGTACAATAAACATGAGTCTGAAGAAAAAAGGGGACATCGTGTCCTGGAGAGTCTTTCCCTTCCAAACTAGAAAGAGAAAATGGGGGAGAGATGGCAGAGGGCAAGGCAAACAATGTCCAGATTTCTTCTCTGCTTTTGGCTGGGACCTGTTATAGATACACAGATGTTTTGCAGACTCTGAAAAGATGATGCCTAGTGAACTGTCAGCCAGAAGCCATGGCACTTATCTTGCTAAGTTTCTTTAGTTCCTAGGAAATTCTTTCCTCTGGCTAGTCCTTATATTGTCAACTTTTAAAGCTGCTTGGGGAGAATTGTCCGTAAGAGTCTTCTCAGCTGTGGACCTCGAAGTCAACAGTACTGACTGGCCAGGCATCATAAACTCACTGGTGCAATAGTACAAATTCTCTAGTCACCTGCCGCTTTCTGATTGAACTTGAGGTCTCATACACAGGAAGGAAAACACAGATCTTAATGGGGAAGCTACTGCTCTTGTTTTACTAAATGAATATGAACCAGTTTTCCTTCTGAAAAATTACACTTATGCCCAGAAAACAGTGCCAGTGTCAGGTTTGGCCAGAGAAACTTCCTTTTACAGTGGCCAGTGGTAACTCAAAATAGGGCAGGGAGATGGTTCAGAAGGGGAGAGTGTATTTGTGAAGGCAAGAGGACCTGGGTTCTCTAGCACCCACATACAAAGCCAATAACCTTGGTGCCTGTGTACCTGTGACCTGAACTGGGAGGTGGAGAATGATATCCAGGAACCTCTTGACCATCAAACCTAGTCACAGGAGCAAGCTCCAGGTTCAGGGCTCAGCTCTTGTCTTAAAAACTAAGGTTCCCTTCACTGTTGATGGGAACTATTGCACTACCTTTCAACAAACCTGATTTGTTTGCCTTTATTTCTACCCTTTTACTACTTAATGTTCTCTGATGGTTTCATATAGCTCTATGATGTTTTCCAGTTATTCTTTCCTCATCCTCTCCTTTCTTTCATTTCATTTCAATGTTCTTTCATTACAGCAATACTAACCCTAATTAAGACACATGCAAAGGAAGAAAAACGACTTGCTGGAATTCCTGGGCATATGGATCGTGTGAGCGTGTGTGTGTGTGTGTGTGTGTGTGTGTGTGTGTGTGTGTGTGTAAGAGAGAGAGGGGGAGGAAGGGAGGGAGGGAGAGAGAGAGAGAGGGAGGAGTAAGAGAGGGAGAGAGAGAGAGAGAGAGAGAGAGAGAGAGAGAGAGAGAGAGAGATATTCATGTGAATGAGAGATAGAAGGCCTAAATACTGAGCATTAAAACAATTACTTAAACTGTTAGGTAATGTCAGCACTTAGAAGATGAAGACAGGACAGTCAGACATGCAGGGTCCTCCTCGTCTACACAGTGAGATCAAAGTTAGCTGGGCTACATGAGAGTCCTGGTTTTGAAACAGTAAAGCATGTTTAGGCACAGCTGTTTATCTGTAGACATAAGGAGCCTGACTAAAATGCCATTCTCTCCAATTAAACAACAGAGAAAGGAATATGGAGGAGTTAGTTTATAACATGAAAGAATCCTTTATCAACCAGAAAATTCTCTATGGTGGAATGTGTGGTGACAAAATTCACACTCAACTTGGTTCTATAAGTTTTCTTTTACACAGCCCCCAGTAATTTAAATAAAGGTAATTTCCACTGAAGCTTTACCTTTTCTTCAGAAAGCTTGCAGTCAAACAAGCAGAAGATGAAAATATCAAGCTGATTTCTCTGCAAACATAATAACAAGGGCCAAGTCACATTTGGGCAGTGTCCAGAATTTTGACATTTTGAGGTGACATTGTTATATGCCAGTGCTTCTCAACTTGTGAACTGCAACCTCTTTGGGGAGGTCAAATGACCATTTCATAAAAGTGGCCTAAGACCATTGGAAATACCAGATTTTTACATTATGATTTGTAATAGAAGCAAAATTAATTATGAAGTGCCAACAAAAATAATTTTACATTGGAGACCACTACACATGAGAGACTGTATTAAAGGGTCACAGCATTAGGAAGGTTGAGAACCACTGTCATATACACATGTGTTGAGCAGTACTTATAGGTAGCCTAGGATTCATGTGATCTTTGGGCTGAAGGTTAGAAATACCTATAGCTTCCTTTATCTTATATACGAATAAATAATAGCTCTAGACTCATTAATTTCCATATTATGAGCATACAGCTTGTAAATGTTACTACTGTATCTCACCAGAACTGTTTATAGTTGATTTTCTGTGCATTTGCATTTGAATAATGAACACAACCAGTCACTTTGAAGGCCTAAATTCTGAAATGCTAGTGAATCAACTATGAAGACCTGAATGCAGTACAACTTGCTACTAAGACTCATTCATACATCTCCCTTACTTAGAAAGTTACGTGCCATATACATTCTCCTTGTAGCTCTAATATTAAATAAACAAATAATTACCGTGCACATCAATGACCAATCCAACCAAAAGATAGTAAAAGAGAATCAACCCCAAATGTAAATTCTGTTAGGACAGAGCCAACCCTTCTTTCTCACAGCTAGGGCAAAGTGATTAGGATTTCAGAAGCACAGAAGGGGCTCTGCTCTACGTCATCAAGCTAGCTTACCTTCTGGCATCTTGATGATCTTTTCCTTTGTTTGCTGCTCTCCATTTCTTTACCAGAGACTGGTTGATTCGGATCATTTCGGGCAGGATTCTCCTGGAAACACTTGTGGACCTAGTGTTCTTTAAGCAAGAAGATAAAAGCAAAAATGATCAGGGAAATGCACACACATGTTGAGTAACAATCAGTACAGTGCCTGACACACGAAAGGCCTGTCCTCTTGCACAGGGGTTTGGTGAGCTTTTGCATCAGGGCTGGCCTGTACATTCTGTTTCCTAACTTGGGCCATTGCTTGGTCTGTATTTTTAAAAGTGTAATCATGAAAGAAAAGATTAAAAATAGAGACAGAAATAGGTGCTTGTAAATTAATATTCATCTTACCATCATCCAAATGGCCATAAGATGAAAATATCGATCAACAGATGAATGCATTTTCAATGTGATAATATAATATGCAGTGAAATATTACTTAGCATTGAAAATGGTACTCTAATATAAGGTGTGTTTATTCTAGACCATGCTAAGTGAAAATAAATCAAATAAAAATAGAAATCTTATGATTCCACATATATAAAGTATGTCAAGCAAAGGAGAAATTCCCTAGGACTGAGGAGGTCAGGGAATGAGGAATTCTTGTTTAATAGATCTCAGGTGTCTGTTTGGGGTGATTAAAAGGTTTGAGAAACAGTGATGAAACTTGATGGCATTAGGAATGCAATTAATGCCACAGAAAATTGTAGGCAATGTGTTGAAAATACCATAAACACAATCTTATATGTAATTTGAGATAGGGTCTCACTATATAGCCAAGAGTGACACTTGATACAAACACACACACACACACACACACACACACACACACACACACACACACCACTTTTCTTCAATCAAATAAAATCTTCTGGGAAATATGTATAAATACAATGCATCAAGTGTCAAGACCCACTATGCTGGTGACAGGGTCTGTGCCAGGACTTTGTTCATCCAGAGCCACACTTCCAGCTCCTACCTGAGCACTTAGATTTAAATTCCAGTGGTTTGGAAACTTATCATTCACAAAGGTTTATTTTCTCTTGCATCTAAGCATCTCAGTACAATGATCTGCCCCCTACTGGCAGCTATGTGTCATTTATTTTCCTCTTCAAAGTCCCTAGCTTCTCCTTGGAAACTTCACAAGCACCATGGCCCTTGGTGGGCTTGCCACTGCTCCTGTCCTCGTGCTCCCTGCTCTCATTCTTGGCAACTTCAAAGTTGATGACAGCAGTCTATCTCCTGCTTCAACATCTCACTCCCAATCTTATCCTCACTCCATTCTCTCCTCATTTTAGCTACTCCTGACAGGGAGAAGGTTTCCGAACTGAAGCGACTGACTCCTGGGATTAGATAATTCTTCGTTGTGAAGGATCCTACACATAGTAAGATATTTAGTACTTACTGTTCCTAGCCCTTACCCACTAGAAGCCAGTAGTAGTCACTGTCAGCATACCAACTTAAAATGTCTACAGACACAACCAAATGATTGTTAGAATGCAAAATCACCCTTACTTAAAAAGCACCAGCTTATGCCTAGGGCATAAACTGGACTTTTACATTAACAATTGCTCCATTTGTAAGCATCCGTTTGGAATAGTCTCTCTGACCATAACATCAGATCTCATTCTGTGATCATCTCCTTACTCTAGAACTAGCTTAGCTCCTATGTTTCACTCTTCTAATCACTCCCACGACTCCTTTAGGCCTCCCTTATTGGACTGCAAAATTTCATCTGTCATTATGTTCAAGTCTGGATTACTCAAAGTCAACTCCCAATGCCTAACACCACTGAAGACAACCTGCCCATCGTGCTGGCCAACCACACTCAAGCTATGATCACAAATTTCAATGGGCACTTCCAAAGCCAGTTGCTTTCTCTTACTCTGATACTATTGCTCATCTCTCTTTGGCTTTCCTCACATTCCTCTGCTTCTCTCACTCTCACATCAGCTTTGGTCATCAAGCAGTTACTAATCACCAACTCACTCTCATCTGCAGCCAGAATGGCATATTTCTCTCCTTAGGCATCTCCATTCTATACTTAACGTTTTGTCATCTTGACATAAAGCTTAGGGAATCTCAATTGAACTGACTGTATCACATTGGACTATGGCTTTTGTCTCTAGAGCATTTTCTTAATTAATGATTGATGTGTGAGGGCCCAGCTGACTGTAAGTGGTGCCATCCCCATGCAGATGAGTCTGGGCTCTATAAGAAAAGTAACAGAACAAGCCACAGCAAGACATTAAGTAGTGTTCCTTCAGGGTCTCTACTTCAGTTCCTGCCTCCAGGTTCCTGCCCCGAGTTCCTACCCTGACTTCCCTTCATGATGGACTAGTAAGCTGTAAGCCAATTCAGCCCTTTCATCCCCAGTTTGCTATTGGTCAGAATGTTTTATCACAGCCAGTGAGAACAACTGACACAGCACTGGACTCTGTTTTCTCTCTCCTGCTCTGGGACATTCTTCTGTCACTCATGAGAATCCATCCCATTATCTTCTAATTTTACTTTCCTGTCAAATGTCTCTGTTGTCAAAAGCCTTGTTTCCACTTCTTCTCCTCTACTTGCACTGACCCCACCCGGAGATTTATTGCTCTCTCTTAAAATTAAACTCTGCGCTTGTCTGTCTTGACCTTCCTGCACAGTTGCTTCTCTGGAAACGCTGCCTCCTAGCTCCCAAGTAAGAAACCATTCTTTCACATCTTCTTATTTGGTTCTTCCTCTGCTGTCCCATCTGTGCCCCACAGCCTGATTTTTGTACCTCTTCTTCCCCTCTGTCTCAGACATCTCCCCTGCCCAATCTTCCCTCTCTTCTTTTGTCTTGAGCCTGCCCCTCATTGCCCACATCCTTCTCCTGCCACCCCATTTTGGAACCAAATTTAGGGCTATTGCTTTTGCACGCAAGGCAAGTAACCTCCCATGGAGCCACATCTCCAGCCCTCTGTTCATTTTCAGATACAAGGTCTTGTTAACATGTCCACCATTTTAACAGAAGAACACATTAGTAAAAGGTCTGAAAATAAATAATATATTGTCTCAAACAGTAGTCTGAAATTTAAGGAAAGGTGGGTACAGCTTAGAAGAAAATGCTTGCCTAGCATATACAAGGCTTTGGGTTTGATCCCCAGCACCAGAGAAAGAAAGGATTCCTGAAACTTAAAAGGAAAAAGAGAAATAACACGTACTGATACCCGACGAGTTGTCACAAAGTTGGCATGTGCTCCAGCAAAAATGTCTTTGACTTCAATATTCACCAGGTCTAAAAAATTAAGAGATCCATGTTCAAAGTTTTACCAGGGAAAAATAAACCTATACGAAACTAAGCCAAATTTACTCACTTGTTAAAAATTTATACTCTCCTAAATTTTGACTACAAATAGCATAAGAATTCATTTTGACCAGATGAAATGTTATTTATTCACTCAATAAACATTTATAGTTTTGGTTCTAGGCCCTTGCATAATGCATCAGGGTTGATTTGCTTAGGTATTTGCTTGAATGTATCAAACCATGTTGTTAATATAATTAACTAATTTGACATCTTTTGAATCACTTAAATCTTTACAAATGATTGCCTATTACTCCAGGAAAAAAATCAGCAGTTTAAAATAAAAATACTAAGAACTATAATCATAGTTTAGTGGGGTCCTGTGAAAGAAGTCTGACTGAGGTGTCTCCTTTCAGTCAATCAGTCATGAGCTAGTGGAAGGACTCATACCCTCTGCAGATAGCAGGCAGGTAATGTCAGAGTTCTCTGCTGGAGCATCCTGATGAGTGGTAATGTCAGAGTTCTCTGCTGGGGCATCCTGATGAGTTGGGTTGCTTGAGTGACTTGGTCCATGGCCTAAAGATACCACCTGTCCAGTGGTGCAGACATATGCAATGGTGTGATAACTACAATATAAAATACAATAGTGACAATATGATAGTCCAAAGAACCAGATACCCTTGAGTCTAAGAAAAGAATGGAAATGACAGATTTACCTTCACCATACAACCAGCTGTCTCATTACAGTATTAGTGTTGCAGAGTACTAGGCATCCCTCAATCCCTGAAGAGGTGGTATTAACTTACTGGTAAAGATACTATTAGTGACGGGATTTACTATGGCTCATACCATGTTGCTTTTTTGGTTTTGTGTTGAGACAGAATCTCATATAGACCAGGCTTGCCACCATCTCTCCATGTAGCCAAGGATAACCTCGACTTTTTGATCCTTCTGTCTTGACCTCCTTAGTGCTGGGATTAGAAGAATAGCTCACCACCACCACCACCACCATCACTACAGCTGGGACCACTGGCACCACACCCAGTATGTATGGTTCTAGAGATCTATACGAGGACCACTGAATGTTAGGCAAGCACTCTATCAGTTTTCTATTTATTTTATTTATTTAGTCTTAATTTTAAAAAACAGCATACTGTTGCAGGACATATTTAAATTGGCAGCATTCAATCTGGCTTTTCTTAATCAGCCACCATGTTCCCGACTAGCCTAGGCCTGTGACCAGGAGCGGCTGCAGCTTACCACCGCTGCTTAGCTCAGGCAGTGTGCTCAGGCCGTCAGAGACACCAGCCCTGCCACTCATGAGACACCAGTGTCTCCACAATGCTTGGCTGAGCCCAGACCATCCCACCATCCACGCGGGCCCAGTAGGAACAAGACTCTAATGCTTAGATTATCCGAAAGCTTTATATATCTGGTAATGCTCAATAACAAGATGTTCACACAATCAGAGGTGTAACCCAATACCTAACTTAGATATACCAATTACCTTTGACTGCTAGAGACACACACATGTCTGCTTCCATGTTCCCCTCTCTCCTGTTCTCTCCCCAGCCCCTCCTCTTCCTTCTGCTCTTCCTCCTCTTCCTCTCCTTACTCCTCCTTCCTTAGCTCCTCCTACAGCATACGAAATATCAGGCTTCCTTACAATGCTGGCAAACGCTTGTTTTTATTGACTCCCTTTGTCATATCTGCTCATATCTCTCTATGTCCCTGCTCCTTTATCCTTCCACCCCTGTGGCATCCTTGCTGCTTTCATGTCACACGTGTTCCATTGCCTGCCTTCCTCATATTGCCTACTTTTCTCCATTTTGGTCCCCTTTATAGTTGTATGACCCATCACGCTCCCACCCACACATGTACATACAGACAAAAAGAAAAAGCTAAGATCTGCATGAGACAGTACATTCTTCTTTCTGAGTCTGAGTCATCTCTCTTAAATAGTAATCTCTAGATTTATTCATTTTCCTGGAAACTGTATATTCCTTTTTTTTCTTGATAGCTGAAGAAAATTCCATTGTATATGTATATCATGTTTTCATGACCTATCCATCTATCAAGAGACACCTAGGCTGATTCTATTTCCTGGCTTTTGTGAATAGTATGTAAGTGTCTCTGTGGTAAGGTATCTCAATCCTTTGGGTGTATACCCTGGAGCTGAGTCAAATGGTAGCTCTACTTTTAATAGCTTGAGGAATCTCTCGCCTGATTTCCATGGTGACTGCATCAGTTTATAGCTCTGCCAGCACTGGCTTTTTCTCTCCCTTACCAGGATTCCTTTGGCTTTTTTTCCTGGTGACAGCTGGTCTGACATGGGTGAGTGTTGGCTGAGTGAGGTGGAATCTCAAATTAGTTTCCATATGCATTTCCCTGCAGGCTAGAGATGTTAAACATGCCTAAAAATGTTCATGTTTATGTGTGCTGCTTATTGTGAGACCCTTCTGCTCAGTTCATGGTCTGTCTGTTAGCAGTTTGGGTTTGTTTATATGTTCTAGATTTTAACCTTCTGTTTGAAGTAGCTGACAAGGATTTTCTCCCATTGAAGGCTGTCTGTTAACTCTACTGATAGATTTCCTTGCTTTGTTTAAGCCTTTAAATTCCATTCAATTCAACTGTTAACTCTTAGAGCTATCCTTCTTCCTCTGGAGTCCTTCAGAAAGTTCTGCTATGCCTGCCGACATCTTGAAGGATTTTCCTCCTGTCTCCCTCTAGCATTCTCAGGGCTTTGGCTTTCAAATTAAGGTTTTAATTCACTTGAGTTGTTTTTTTTTTTTCTTTTCAAGTATCTGTGTATGTATGATGCCCATGTGGGTGCGGTGTCTGGGCATGTATGGTGTCTGTGCATGTAGGTATGCATACATGAGTGTGGGCAAATGTATGTGTGAGTCTGTTGGGTCCCTGGGATCATGTCAAGAATCTTCTCCCACTGCTTTTATTCCTTCATCACTAAGGTAAGGTCTATTAATGAACCCAGCCAAAGACTGCAGACATGACTAGCCTCTTGCAGAAGGCCCTGCTTTTTACCTTCCAAGGCTGGAATTACGGGTAGACTGTCACACCCACTGCCATTGATATGGTTCCTGGAGATATGACCTCTGGTCCTCCTGCTTATGCTGAAAGCACTTGAATCACAGAGCATCTTCCAGGATAACTCTGAGTTAACGTTTACAGAATAAGAGATATGAATCTTGTTTTACTTTTATTCAGGTGACTATCCTGTTTTGCTAGCACCATTTGTTGAATAGGGAGGGATTTGTTTTGTTTTGTTTTGTTTTCCCAATCAAATACTATGTAGCCCTATTTGTGTAAATTTATTTGTGGGTCCCATATTCTATTCTATGTGCTCTAAATGAAAAACTCTCATTTTTTAATGCAATGGGTTAGATACATACATACTCAAAATGCCCTCATAATTAGGTTATCTAAAACCCTGAATATGTGCTAATCATCATCATGTCCTGAGTGCATGATATTAATTAGTCTCATCAATTTAAGCAGCCAACAACCCCACCTTTGCTGTTTAATTCTCTCCTACCTTCTACTCAGAGTAAGGCAGTCTATATGTCGTAAGCTTCTAATAATTATTTGTTACATAATTATCAATAGATATGAATATTTTAAATTAAAATGTATCTTAAAGAAATAAATTTTCAAAGACAGAATCTTTATTAGAAGCATAGCCATGTGTTTTGGGGTTTCTAAGTAATAAGCATAATACTGTCTATTCAAACGTTTAAAAAGGCCTGATACCTTCCACACGCTATCTGTGAAACACAGCCGTCAACCCCTTTTATGAGTTGTGGGCCTCTTCGCCCACTCCTGGGGCTGTGCTGTAGCTGTCCAGAGCTATTGCCTCCAAATGTAAACACTTGTCCGTCCTGTTTAAGAAATAAGGAATCAGATCACAAAATGTTAGTATGAAAGTGATATGTAAAATTGTTGTATCTTTTATGACTTGATTAATAAATTTCCATAAATATATTCCAAAATTATTTATTTATATATATTTAATATAAGTTTATGAGACTTAAGCCCATGCATGCAGAGCATGATGACTATTAGTGTATATTCAGGGTTTTAGATAACCTAATCATGAGGGCATTTTGAATATTTATGTACCTAACCATTTACATTAAAATCATATCTATTATATATTTATAAATTTTCATAACTTATTCAAAATATTTATGTTATTGTTCCAAAAATATTTATAAATTTATCTATGGAATTTCCTTTAAAACTGAGCACTTTGAATATGTTAAGAATGTATTACATGCTTAAATTTTCTAAAAGAGGAGCCGGAAAGATGGCTCAGCATTTAAGAGCATGTACTGCTTTGCAGAGAACCAGAGATTGATTCCATCATCCATATCAGGCAGCTTACCACCACCTGTAACTCCAGCTCCAGGGAAATCGAATCCTCTTATACTCATGTATACACACACACACACACACACACACATACACACACACAAAGAGAGAGAAAGAGACAGAGAGAGAGAGAGAGAGAGAGAGAGAGAGAGAGAGAGAGAGAGAGAGGA